GCCTATAAAAGATATTTTGAGCTCACGTAAATGATGAAGCAGTTTAATTTTATCTGAGATAATAGCAAAAAAGTTATATGAACGCATGAATTAGCGCGCATTTTCTTTCTCAGGTAAAATAATAATATATACTTGTATGTATTGTTTATCAAGCAAGAGAAAATTCATTGATACGAAAAACTATGTCTTATATTTAGAAACCTTAACTTGGACTACAAAAACGAAAATTTGCGTAACTCGTACGTCACTAGTCTAAATAAAATGTTTTGTTATATGGTTGCTGGTATTTTTTATGGTACATTGTATATGGTAAGCCCTTTTGGGGTAGTTTTATTTGAACAAATAAATGAGCCGTGTCACGACAAAACCAACATAATGGGTTTGCGACCAGCATGGATCCAGACCAGCCTGCGCATCCGCGCAGTCTGATCAGGATCCATGCTGTTCGCTATCGGTTTCTCTACTTGTTATTGAGTTTGTAAGCGAACAGCATGGATCCTGATCAGACTGCGCGGATGCGCAGGCTGGTCTGGATCCATGCTGGTCGCAAACGCACTATGTTGGTTTTGTCGTGACACGGCTCAAATGTAGAGCTTCTTTTTCAGCTCCTGTTACCAATCAGCAATGACCAAAAGTCACGTGATTAAAGCAATCGGTCATTGCACCCTCTTCTCGCCGAGATAAGAAAATCGGTTAAAGAGTGAGCTTAAACATTTTTATGATTACATGACAATATGACCGCTGAATTGACTTTTTTAAGTCAAGCATATATCTTATGATGTATGCTTATTTTCTCTGGTTTTAATGTTTGTCCATTTGAATATTTTCTTTACAAATATCGTCATCAATTCCTATTCTTACTGTTACAAAACTTTTATGACATACGCCAAAGGAACATGTATAAACGATTTGTTTATTATATATTAATTTTAGAGACGTCATAAGTGATTGGCCAAACGTGACGCTATATTCAAGTTTTTTACGTCTGAAATCTGACAATACAATGGTTTTATTTTGAATTCTTACCATTTGACATCAGGCGGTAACGCTTGACTAAGCTGGTCGAAATATGTTATTAAGTTTATCTGATTGTATGACCATATAAAAAGAGATTTTGATTATTTTATAAACCGTCTACGTAAAAACATCATGAAAGACCGGAAAAGACAATGGCATTGAAGTACATTGTGATTTGCAGGTGTATTGCGTTTTAGGCAATTGCGTAAACACCGTAAAAGGACTATGGGAAAGACAATCGCATCCTCTCTACCCTTTCAGACAAACTTTGAATATGAATAATAGTCGAAATGTTCCGATTTTGATTGGCAATACCTTGTTATAACCATATAACATAATATTATTGCATATTACATCGATGACTTGGTTTTAAAATAAAAAATTGGCAATTTGATAAACGCCGTAGGGATAAACAACCGTTCTAATGCCATAAACAGGGAATGGCAATGTAAAACGTGTCAATGTGGTAAACACCATAAAAATCATTGCTATGAGTTAAACTCCGTAAAATGCCATGGCAATTTGGTAAACATTGTTAAAATTAATTACAAAACAGCTTTGAAAATGACAATAAACCGTTTTATTCAAACCAATGAATCTTGAAGCTGTTTGAACTGGAATTTTATATACCCCGTATCTTGAAAGTGTATAAAGGTGAAAACTTACTTTCACACCTTGTTTCTGCCAAAACACCCCCGAATTCATTATCTGATTTAATAGTGAGCTACTGACTAAAGAGAGATTTTGCGTACACGTGAAATATTTCAGTGTGAGCGCATTGACTCAATATTGAGTCACGCTACATAGTGTTTACATGCCCAGTTGCGTTTAACCTAGGTCATTGACCAATATATATGTTTAAGGGATAGGCTTTTAATGAATCTCTTTTCGTGTTTATGAGGGGCTACTTAAGTTAAAACAGTCTTAAAACATAATAGCTCGACGGAATTTTCAAGGGAGAGGCTCACAACAGCAAATAAATGTTATCTTGGTAATTCGTTACGTTGTTCTACCGAAAACTCTATAAACAATGATCAAAGAAATGAAAACATGATGTATATTAGTACTATAAAAATATAGTTAGTATCTCACTATCATAAACAAGATATAGAAAGTCTTACGTGTAATAAGGACGAAGTCAAGCCTGTCCAACTGACTTTTATTATTTAATATCAATACTATAACAAAATATAGATTTGTTTTAATTCGATTACATAAAATGTTCAAAGGTTTACAAAGGCTTTTCTTTCTATAAAGAAACTAATCTTCCATTCTTACATACAAACACACATCTTGTTTGATTATTAGTGTTATGAAAGACATCGAAAATAGCAAACTATAAAGAGTTTCTCCTTTTGAATTATTATTTACAAAAACCCTTTTATTGTATGAACGTTAAAAAAGATCCTTTTATACGTTGAAGTGAACGCGTTTGATCTTATTACCTTAATGAAGGGCATGTCGCCGAGCAAAAGAAACGTTTTACATCTCAAGTTAAAAGTAAATAGAAACTGCAATTTTATAACTTTTTATAACGTGAGAAACCGGCGGATGCATAAAGACGATATTATCAAAAATCTACAAGGCGATGCATTTAAAAACTGTTTTTCAAATTAAAGACCAGTTCAAAGTTCGGTCAAGTCTACCCATGGCTGTTATGGAATGTCAAAGGTCGCAGGTTATAGGGTCATTCATATTACAATTCATAACAATATTGTTCTCATGTTGCACCGTGCACCGGCAGAGGGCATTATGGTTCAAGGGTCGGATAAAAAGCATGTTTGTTCATCCATTTAGAAGTGTCATATATTTCAGCTGCCGCATAAGTAATGAGAAACACAAGGTAAGGAAACGCTTAAATTGAAAGTCGGTTCAAACCAATTTCCAAATCGATGCTCCAGAAAGATTTTTGACAGTGCACTGCGATCATCATCCAGCCTGACAATTGAACCTAAAAACTCAGAATTTTTATAGCATATCAATTACTAATAAAATATTCTCAGTTTTAACCCTGAACATGCTGAATATTTTAAATGGACTTGTCCCACTTCCATTTTTGGGACTGTCCATTATCAATTTTAGGGATATCAATATGAATATTTAAAATTTGTCAGCCAACAGTATAGAGCCTGGTCAGACTGCACGGATGTGCAGGCTGGCCTGGCTCTATACTGGTGGCAAAGACTTCAGCACTTAAAGGGTTAAGATCCTAAGAGAAAGACACATTGTAGCTATTTTAATAAAGAACACGTTTTAATAAATTTTTAATTAATATACCACTTCAATAAACAGTATTTTGAGGTTGCTTAAAGCTATATAGTTTTTGATATTTGATGATGTTAGTGCAGATTTCGCGTCATACTTCAATTATAGTATTCACATTAATTATCAGAACAAATCTTTTAAGAGTTGTAGGTACGAGGAAACAAACTTGAAAATAAAATCTTGCAAAATGGTCAACAAACAGGACTTTGATAGCACATGGATTTTTTTCAATTAAACCAAAAAAAAGATTATTCCATTGTCAGTAACAGTTCGATTGGAATACCGACTGCAGAATATCAAACGTGACACCTATCATAACTAAATAACAATTCCTGAAGCAAATATGACTCAAATCGCATTCTCATTGTTAAAATGGTTAACTAACTGAGTGAAACGTTTTTACAGAGTATATGCATATATAAACCTTCTCCTAAAAGGCCTTATATCCCTAAGGTATGCTATTGTTTTCATTTTCCAAAGGTGTCCTATTGAAAGTTGCCAAAATGTTTCTTATTGTCAACTCACGCAATTCATCTTTTTATTCCGTTGCCCTTTTTGCAACTTTGTACAGTAATAGTATTTTAGTATCGTGTATGGAAGTCAAAATACTACTTTGTTTACACTTTTTTTACTTTTTTGGACAAATAATTTCCCAATCAGGGCTACTTACTTCAGGCAATAATCATTTAACGCGCTCTGAAACTGTTATTTAAATGTAATGAAACTGTAGTTTGCCTTTTCTTTTCTAAAAAAGAATATATTTATTCATTTCTGAGGTATAGAGTGCCTTACTATTTTCATGATTTATACTGTTGATTATTTCCAAGATACCAACATAATTTAAGATATAGATAGAAATAATTATGTTTCAAAGATTTGTAACCTTTCACGGATATGATAATGTGTCACTGATTTGTTTTAGTTTAGTCAAGACGCGAACCCGCTTAGTCAAGTTAGAAACAAAACCATCGATAATAATTTAAATGAATAGTCCTTTTAATCCAATTCTTTTATGATTCTCCGGCATATGTTATTTTTTGCCTGTATTTCAAAGTCACTTTTTTATAAAAGTTTTTAGATATACACATATCTATGTGCTTTCCGATACACATACATGTACTAAAATGCAACCATTTGTTTACAAACATAATCTTTGTACCAGAGCGTTTTGGCATACTATTAAAATTCAAAAAGTTCTAGTTAAAAATAACGTTTATAACTAAAGCCTTACTTATTATATTTTTTCCACATTTAAATATATAATTATTGTAACTGACAGAAGGTAAAATAGAGAAAATGTCAAATCTTAAGAGATGATGGTGTTACTAGTTATAATAATAAATTTATAAATAGTACATCATTACCTTAGTGCAGTAACTAGTTTACTCCAATTAAATTTAACACGAGTTAAACCGTTACTACATTAAGGTGACGATATAGACCCCGACACAATGTGTTCGTATCATAAAGTATATACCACGTTTAACTTATAAAGTGTTATTTTAATTTTGCATGTTTTGTTTGTTTTTGTTTTTTGTTTTGTTTTTTTTTTGTTTTTTTGTTTTTTTTTTTTTGTTGGGTTGTTTTTTTTTCTTTTTTTTTTTTTGGAGGGGCGGGGTTTTTTTTCGATTTTATGAACTCTACCTGTATTTCTTTGGCCATTGTCTTATCTTGGTCAGTAAGACATGATTTCTGTAGAAAATAACAACAAGACATGGTGACAATTAACATATTTATTAAAGAAAAAAAAATATTATAACATTATAAACAGCTTGCCTTCTGAGACATTCAAATGGTAAATGAAGTAATGTGAGGAGAAAATATAGAGGTACAAATATCATCCTGAAAACATTGAGGTAATACCAAGTTTGTGAATTTAACATTTTATTTGACAAATTGAACTTTATGAAGTTTCAATGGTTTATAAATGGACTCTTCCTGCTTTGATTTATGAACAGTCCATTTTACAAGTTGAACTAACAGCAGTATAGAGCCTGGTTAGACTACATAGATGTGCATGCCGGCACGGCTCTCTACTGGTGGCAAAGACTAATCATTTCCGGTTCCAGCAGATTAAAGGTTAAATAATGTAAAGTCGTACAGTACATGTGTTAACAAGTAGTCAGTACTCGATGTAAAAGGTTATCTATTTTTGATGATTAAAAAAGGAAATTTAACAACGGACAGCAATGTAAAATTCATAAAATCTGAAAATATATCATTGAATAAAAATTGAAACCTTGCTATTTAATATGACAATGAGATAAAGTGAAATAAGAAATACCTGATAAATAATAATTGAAATAAGAAATGTCAAATAAATATATATAGAAAACTGAATGTCAAGGAAAACGCTTTAGTACTTTAAAATGTCAATGACTTGAAATGACAACATTTTAAACATTTTGTTTCACTAATTATTTTTTTGATTGAAATTAAAAAACCGAAAAAAGCATTATTTCGAAACATAATTATGATAGATGAAACAGTTCACTCATAATAAGAATAACAATAATAATATTATGAATAGATTGACATCAAAGGTTTTTATCTGTCTTATGACAGGCTGTCTTTATCTTGAGGTACTCGGCACACGATATACTAGTAAAGAAAAATCTACGTTTCTTCTGTTGTCAGATGTTAAGAGAAATCTATTAATATTTCAAAAGTATGAACTTTGTTTATTTTCTTTCTATGGGGAAATGCGGAATATGGAAGTAATACTGGCAAGCTCTTTATATTTCACCTAGTTAGAAAATATACACGTGTACTTAACATTTATACTTTAAACAGTCAAATAACTAGAACAAGTAACTGAGTCAAGAAAGTCATGATTGGTTAAAAAAAAATCTTAATGTTCAGTATGAAAAAAGTGAAACATATATGTATACAAAAATTCTAAATTATTCTCGAGTTTCAAAATTTTATAAATTCACGTACGAGATGATCACGTGTAAAGAAAAAATAAATGTGTGTTAACAGAATCGTTAAACAAAAACGATTGGTGCTTTGTAATAGAAAACATCTTACATTATCTCCTTAGAATGTGACACATAAAATAACTTTTAAATTCACACCACCGTGAATAATGCATTTAATAAAATGTAAAACATAAACAAAATTCAGTGCTACAAAGGCCACATTTAAAATTAAAAGAATTCCCTTTTTACAAGCCTAGAATCGATAACAATCACAAAGCCTTTCATTTTTAATGGGAAATCTTTTTTTCAGGTGAGTTACTCCGTAAATTGTATCGATAATCATTAATGTAGGATGTGAACTGGCTATGCTCGGCTTCTAAATGTCTAAATTGACTGGAAGCAAAGCAGAATGTTATGGTGTTAACACTTATGTTAAAGTAACTCAAATCAAAAGCACTTAAAGTCAGCACCGTTGCAGGAAAAAATCTAAAGCACTTTTAAGCCAGCACTCATCGACGCCTTCCGCATAACAACATAAGCTCTAACACAAACTTAAATGTTTTGGTTTTTTTATCAAAGTAGAAACCTACAATGTAAATGATATTCGTTAGTTTCTAAATAAAGCAAAAAGTTATAAGTACATCAGGGTCAACTAGCTCTGGAAAAAAAAGTTTGCGGTTATCTTTCATCTTACTTCATGACTAAATTGTTGATCATGTTAGCTGACCTTGGAATGGTCCCGGATCAATAATTACATCAATATTTGTCAATATCAGTTTAATAAAAATGTGTGTTGATTTCAAAATGACTATACACGCTGGAGACAATGTGAAATTAGATCATAAATCTACTACAGAGTAACAACTACAAAGAGAACAAAAGGTTTACCATTTGAAGGGACAAGATTGTTTACATTCATTGAGGTAGTCATGTGTTTAAGATACATACATAGCTAGAAAGAAACCTCACAAATGTGTGTAGTGCTGTACAAGTAGTCATTACTTTGAATATTTTGCACTTGAACAAGAAATATCTTTAAGAAAAAACACCCGGTCGTTGTAAAAGTGATTTGAATGTTGAATTTCAATATTCATTTCCTACTATTTTGTTATGACAAAACACATGAATGACATTCTGTAAATACCGGGAAAGGAATGGCGGATAGCCAGTCAAGAAACCGGAAGTAAAGTCGAAAACATAGAGCATGCGGCCGAAAACAAAATCTCTGACTGATTACACTATCAAACTTTTATAATCTCATTAAGGACAATATATTAAACACAAACTTTCATAGACCCTTCACAAATGTGAGATTTCTTTCATGCCGGGTATATATACTATAATAATATCCATGTAAAACAAAATGAGAATATCAAGTTAACATAACAATATCATAAAATAATAAAAATTAAAATGGTGAATGTCAAGAATAAATACATATCCTAAATATACAATATGACATAGAAGTGGAGATTTCAATGCTGATTCAAGTATTACATGGAAACACTTTACAAAAAACAGTAAAATACTGACTTCCATGCTAACAATATATTTTATAAAATGGCTATGTTTAAACAAAATTACTAAATTTATAGAAACATATGCTTAAATTCTTTGATATTTCAATACATTCAAATACTGGTGCAGTGTTTAATCCAGCATGAATATATGCGAAATTGTGACCCGAAAAAGAAAACCACACCAAAACAAGATACCCGTAAAAGTCCAAAATTTATACCCTCCCCAAAAATCCGCTTAGTTTAGTAAACGGTATTGAGATCCAATATGAAGTTGTTAAAAGTGCTGTGGTAAAGAAATGGAATCAAAGGTTAGCCCGATAAAGTGAACTGAATGAAAAGAATTGGCCATAAAAAGGTGCATCGAAATTTACACAAAAACATTAAACACGAAAACGTTATCAAGATCATCCCCCATAATTTAATAACCCGAACAAAACACTCTGGCATTGAAATGACAATTTGTGAAAATGTCAACTGGGGTTAACATTAAACATTTAGTGTTACCTGTAAAATAAAAGTAAATAATATTTAAATGAAAAAAAAATTGCCAATAATTCTCTGTCTTGCTGAATAAAAAAAGATCTGGCATTATAATTTTTATACAATACTATAGATGTATTTGTTATGAATGAATTTAGAGTCAATACCTTATTATTTGATATTTTGTAAAAGGATACTGTATGATTTAATAATTTGTAAAGAACACACATTCAAGAAATACTATACCTGCTGTTTGACTAGCATATGATTGACCAGTTTAAAATTGAATGATTAAATATATATTTATACGCTAAAGTAATAATGGAGGATCAAGTCATTTATTGGCTGCTCATGTGAGAATACATGTATATCCAATCCCTGTTGGTGTTTTTGATGAGTCATGACTGGTTAAACATATGAAGTTAGCGTTCATTTATACATATTGACCAAAGAGGTATTGTTGTATTAACAAATATTATACATCAAAGTGAAATGATTGTAAGATGCATGCAAAATAAACTTGAATTTAGACAATAAGATTGTAACATACAAATATATATCAGAATTATAACTATAATGAGGTAAAAGTACATTATTAAAAAAAATGTTAATTGGAATGCTATATGTAGCATTAACTGTGGTACTCACACTTGGCAAAACATCTATAAATATAACACACATATATATATATAATTATTTATAGGCACATGTACATTTTGATTATCCAAGATTTGAGAGGTTCATATTTTAAAATACTGTTTACATAGTAATGTTATTGAGCCGCAACAACTTTTATTATTTGAGCCGCCTCATGACAAAACCAACATAGTGCGTTTGCGACCAGCATGGGTCCAGGCCAGCCTGCGCATCCGCGCAGTCTGATCAGGATCCATGCTGTTCGCTTACAAACCCTAAAGCAAGTAGATAAACTGATAGCGAACAGCATGGATCCTGATCAGACTGCGCGGATGCGCAGGCTGGTCTGGATCCATGCTGGTCGCAAACGCACTATGTTGGTTTTGTCATGACGCGGCTCATTTAAGTCATATTTGTTGTTATTTACATATAACAATAAGATAGAGATGTGTCATGTTATAGTGGGCCGATAGAATGGTTATATTTATATTGAATGTTATTAATGATGATATTTAATGTAAAAATAAATATATTACGTTTAAAAATAACTACGTAAACAAAAATGTTTGCAAAGAATATTTACTCTAAAATGTTTAAAGAGGAACCTTTACATTACTGGTACTGTAAGTTGTATGTTATATTATGTTGTAATCTTTACATATAATTTAGTATACAAAAAGAGCTTAAATGTATGTTCTCGTATAGAGATATTGCTTCTTAAAAACAAATGACGGAAATCAACCATGTATTACTTGTTTGTTTTGTAATGATAAAAATCTTTTATTTACTACTTTAAAGTTATGCCATGATGGATGTTGATACTTAACTAACAAGATGTAAATACTTTACATCCGGAAATGTCAGACGGACACTAGATTACTTGTAACAATGGCTAGTTGAATAACTTTGATGTACTTCTTTTAACTTCCTACCATATAACCATGTTTGTACATAATAATAAAGTTATGACTTTGGTCAAACAAAGCCACTTAATTATTATATCAGTTATTTAACAAAGTCTCCGACAGTCATTGTTGTACATACAATTAAACCGCCTTTTATAATGATGATACATTGTCCTATTTCTGAATGTAACTGTTATGGAAAAAGTTCAGTACGATTATATATTTCAAATTCAAAAAAGACATGTATCCTGTTTAAGTCAATGGTGTTGTATTATTTGGATTTCAGATCTACAGTACATGATCGAAAGCACTTTAAACTTTCAGCTGTCAAATAAAAACAATAAAGTCTTGAAGTAGCAACAATTTCCATGACAAAAATAACAAAATTTTGATTTTATCCTCAATTAAACAATTCTTTTAACATGCCTTGATAAATTTAAAATCAATTTGTCAAATATATTCGACAGTAACCTTAATAAAACATAATGACATAATATGTAAAAATGTGAAATGGATTGTTAAGTCAATATATATACAATGATGTAATATCACCTCGGGTTTGAGCATCACCATTCTATCATTATAATATATAGTATTACAGACAACATAAGCCATGTCTACTATAAATTAAAGTCCAATTAAGGCTGTGTCTAATAATACATCCCTGAGCTCAAAAGTTAAACATATAAACTATTTACAACAGATAAAACAAAGCACTTTTGAAGATATGTTAGAACACTTAAATTACATGCAATGACTTCCTGAAAAAAGACCCTCAAAACATATTGCATAAAGTACAAATACAATGAAATAATGGACAGTATTTTGAAGAATAAAAAGAAAAAAGATCAAATACAGGTTTACCTACTCAGCCCTAGATAAGATGGCGTCAGAGTAAGTTATAAATCCAAGCTAAAGTCATTAATCTCTCATATACTTTGATTATCTTTGCCAAGAGGTAATGGAATCAATTTCATTACAGACCAGGTTTGTTGTGGCTGAATTATAATATCAGTATGTTTTAAGACCAGACCTTCACCCTAACTATTATACAGCATACATCTTAACTTAGCAGTCTCTGTTTTTAAAGCTGCCACTTCAACTCTAAGTTTAAGATTTTCCTGCTCTAATAAAGCTGCTCTGATGGCGATTTGGTCCTCTTTAGCTCTTCTTGCGTCACGTGACCGTTTAGCAGCCTCGTTATTTTTCCTCCTTCGTTCCCAGTATGCTTCATCCTTCTGTTCATCCGGTAATGATCTCGGTCGTCTTCGTCCGCCAGCTGTGAGTGAGTGAACACTTTGTGACTGTGTAAAACTATTATTGTTAGAAGAATCACTAGTGAAATCAGTTGGTGTTGAACGTGAACTAGGGGGCTCAATCGGGAAACCTCCAATGTTACTGTTGAGACCATTGTTCCGCCCTGGTAAGTGCATTGGTGTGACTGATGTAGAAACCGGTGACCCCGGTGATGTCGTGGTCGTTGATGTGCAAGTCCTACTAATAGCCTGTTCCTGAGATATCTTGAGGTTTTCTAAATATTTTTCTCTTTCCCTGAGCGCTAATAACTGTTGCTTATAAATACTAAACACTTCCTCTGAGGATAAATTAAGTCCCTGCATTATAGCACTGTTTTCAAAATTAGCGAATGAAGTCAAATAATGTGGAATCATTGGAGCACCAGTTTCGACTTGAACCGATAACGAATCTTTAGGATATGCTTTAAAGGGCCGAGTTCCCTTAGACCCTCCTGAAAACCGTCTTTGATCCATTAAAGCTGCCATTGCTGGGAATGAGTTGGCAAGCATGTTTGCATTTGAAATGCCCATTTGTAACTCATTAAGCATGTGAGGTAGTACTTGTTCCGCTGCTCGAGGCTGACCAATTCTTTCATGGACGGGGGATAAATTCTGACGAAAATGATCAAGTTTGAATTGTTTATGATGGAATAAAGGAGATCTATCTGGCGGGGATTCCTGTGAGGATCCGGATTTATTGTTCATACCATCTGTATCACTACTCTTTCTGTCCTCGTGATGCCCTCCATTGTCATGAGGGGACGAGGCTGGGGAGGACAGAGAGTCTGAACCAGATACCTCATCATAACTTGTGGATTTACGTTTGATTGAGAAGTCAAGAGGTGATTCCCCTGACTCCTCGGCCGAGTCTGTTTTATCAATGTTTCTACTGTCCTCGGCGGATAGTTGGGCATGTAACAGTTCGTGGAAATGTGTGGATGACTCCTGTTTGATTCCATTGTTTATCTCGCTATATGCCATAGTAGTCATGACACTGTATTCTCGCCACCTTCACGTCTGGCTTACCCTGTAATTAAACAAATACTTCGTTTATTAAGATAAATAGAGAAGCAACAAAAAATTGTCTGTTTATATAAAAGTATATATATATATATATATATATATTGCATTTTAATGTACCGTCAAACAATACACGTATGTTTTAATGCAATTATAAATGTGTTGTCTCTTAACACATTGCTCCACATATAAAGTTTATGAGTCATTTACATAATACATATTCAATATCATTGCTGTGTTTAGATTTCATAAAAAATCAACATTGAAATAATAAGAACCAAATGAAACACTTCATCCTGAACAAATTACTGTGTTTGGATATCTTCTCATTTGTTTAATTTGAAGAAAAAAACAGTATGAAATAAGAGCTATTATTGACATTGTTTGCAATTTTGTGAAATCGGTAAGAAAGCAGAAAACATGATTAGAGAGTCCATATGAAAGCCTCATAAATCGAGAAAATATGACATACAAATAACACTTGACCTTCTGCCTATTTGAATAGAGATAGACGTTTATACATGTTCATAACTTTTTTGGTATTGATTTCAGGGTTGTAAAGAAAACCTTGTGATTGAGGTTAAATTTGACTTGTATTTTGTTCCATTTTTAATTCCTCTTGTTTGCTTTGCTCTTTGTTTTACCATTCATTTGTATTTGATGATAAGGTATGTGTATGTATAGGAGAAAATTGCGTACATCAAATATACAACGTTTATGTAATTTAAGAGACAAAACATTTAACGAGAATCCAATTTGTTGCACTTATGATTATAAACATAGATACCATACAAGTCCAACCCTTATAAATTCATATTCGTTACAAAATAGTTTTATTTTATGGTTACATTATGCTAAGTGTTTGTTTGTTTGTTTGTTTGTTTGTTTGTTTGTTTGTTTTAGTGATGCATACGCCATTTACGATATCCCTTGGTACCCTTATCGCATTCTAGTGTTAATGTTTCATATTTCAAATATATCTACAAAATTTAAGTTACAATATATTAACCCACACAGGGGCAACTCATTCATTATGAAATACATAAACAAAGAAACAAATTAACAAAAACAACAACCAACATTGTATAATATTTTTAAAATATGAAACAGATGCTTTATTGCAATTCGTGTCATATAATTTTCCCTTATAATTTCACATCTGTTAAAAGTAAAAATATGTTTTAATAAAATATGTACTTTTGCAGTTTTCCTATTTGCGTATACGTACTCGAATTTCGCAGAATATAAATGCGGAAAGCATAAAAATGTACTATGTGCCTTAAGTATATCAATCAATTTAGCTTCTTACTGACATGTTTAATTCATTATTGTGTTCGATTAGCGTACTTTCAAAAGCATTCCTATTAAATATGAATGTACATTCAGCGAGGCAAATATCAAGTTATAACAGAAAATATACTCCCATAAAGCTGAAATAAATCATACATAAATAGCTATCGCTGAGGCGTGGGAGAGAAAAAAATACATCGTTCTACACACTTGATTGCTTCATTCATTCAAGCTCGTACTTGATGACTTTTTGTTTACTACCAAGGATATGTTTTGCTTACTATAAAACAGAACACCCGTAAAGTACATTCATTGTGTACAATACAAACAGCTCTTCCCTGTACATATCGACCTTCTATTTGTTCTCCACTGATCAACAAATTCCATGAAACTGGCAGATAAATGCAGCATTAATGCAATACGATGAATACAGAAATAATTCATGTAAAAAATGTTATTTATAAAGCTTTAACTTAACGTTTATATCGTTCAGTAAAACACGAGCTACGTGCTATATGGTGTTATATTAAACGTGTTATATTTAACACGTAACCATATGCAACTTCCTATCAGAGAATAAACAAACATCAGATCTGCGAGTTTAATGAGTAACCAATAGATCTAAGTGATAACTTAGTTAGATAGTACCATTTTATTACCTTATAGGGCGAGGCTGAATCCACAATCATTACTCATTCCATCACGTTAAAAGTAAAATACACTACAAACTTATATCCATAATATGCGTAATTCGTGTCCGAATGAATTGTCACTTAATACGAAACTAGTTGAAGAGATATTTGTAAAATCAAACAACACATCACGTAACCGCTGATTATCCATTAACCAATCGTTCTGTAACAATGTCGTAAGTGGGCAAGGTCTTAACGCACTATTTCAATACCTCCCTGTCGTAAGCTTATTTCTGATTGGCTATATGTATTGCGCATGCTCAAAAATTGCGTAAGGATATGAGCTTTATTTTCAATGCTATCGATTAACAATAAAACAACTTTATCAATACAACTAAATGAACAATGCCGACAAAAAATCACTGTAATGTAATTATTGAAATTAATATAGCATTTCAGTATGTTTTTCCACTGGCAAGAGTGCAAATAAATTTCTCAAACAGTCGTGAAGCATATGCTCCAGGTTTAACGGTTGATGAGTGGGCAGGAATGTAGTTCCTACATTGACCGTAGTAAATCAGTATTTTCTGCTTTTAACAAAATAAAACGAAGCTATCTTGTTTCAAGGAGCAGGGTTAAGGTTCGTGTCAGGTCAGTAAGTCCAATTTGATATTTCGTGCTCTGAATATAATGCAGTTTACAGACGCTTTAAAGTTTGAATGTATTTGCAAACTAGTTGAATAAATATTAAAACGTATGAATCTTAATTACTTCCTGCAAAGCTTAATGTTCAATTTCATAAGACTGAAGAATTCGAACACAATACTTAGAAGAATACTTTGTATACTGTACTCGCTAAAGGACAGTATGACTGTATTGTAAACTAAATCAACAGGGGTAGATAAAGCAATAACATTTAAAGGACTTAAAAATTGCAAAACATAATTATATTATTATTCTAATACCAACCCTAAAAACAATTATAAATTAATCAAAACAAATCAATAAGTGCGACCACAGGTAAAATAGTTACCGCATTGCAACATTGATGATATTGAAAAGTTAACTTACATTTAATTATTGTTTTTCCCCCGAGACGAAAACTACTATTATTCCATATTACTGTATGCAAATTTTTTTATTTTCCAGCTACAACAAACATTCTAGTTCCATATCTTCTCATTTATATGATTACTATAACTACGTCTTAAACGAATTTTCCAACTGCAAGACGTCTGTCAAGCATCATAATATTCCATCAATATTGGTCAGAACGCTAGCACAATTGTAAAAACAAAATCAAACAGTCTAGCTTAAGTGCATTTAGAGGTTAACTTATTCTTAGAGAGAGCATGTGGATAAATAAAGTTCAAAAGGCATGTTAGGTCAAACGCAGGTCATCATAGACATAAAGGAGGATGCAATCTAAAACTTATATTAAATAAGTATTCATAGTTGACCATAGTTCACCGCTTTTCTGATGAGTTAATGGCTTTATGAAATGCCTGCTCGGATGCGAGATTGTACGAAAACGAAATATTGTTGTTTTTATTTTTCTGTAAAATCACATTTTATGCATATGTTATTTGTATGTTTTTTTTTCTAAAAACGATAAAACAGAGACTTTTTTTTGTTGCAGATAAAAACAATGCACCTTTTAATCTACTGCAGTTTAGATTTTAACTATTATAATTATTTATTTAAATACCTGTAAGGCTAAATCTTATATCCATTTATAGTGTAAATTTTAGGAAAAATGCTTTGAAAGAAAATTGTATCCTGTTTAGAGATTAAATGCAGCATTCTTTCCTTTGGTGCAACTTTATATTTCACGAAATCAAATGAAATTTAATTGGATAATAATAATAAAACCAATAAAATATAATATGCACCAGAGGGTTTAGGTTGCAATTCAATTGCCGGAAGGGTCCTAAGTATTACAAAACCCTCCATGATTTTAGTATTATATGTATATTATATGTATATTATATCAATATAAAACTTTAATATTTATCCTTGGAGTATATACTAGCAGCTAGACATTAAATTTTAATCAGCTTCATTTAAATGCACGTTCAAGGAAGCATTGAAAAATAACTGGCAAATTATGTGTGCAATCAACATAAAAGATGCTTAAAATTTACGTATAACACTTAGGCAATAAGTAATTCGATATTTATGTCATTTTAATAAGACATAAAAGTCAAGGAAACCTTTAGATGTTTATAAATCAAGGATAGTTAAGCTTTCGAGTTAAATACCCTTTTTTAACTGACAATTTTTTTCTTTGCTTTGAATTTAAGTTTTTAAAATTGCATTTAATAGATAAACATGTCAAATGCTTGATAATACGAGTATAGTTATAGATCTTCATACGTAAGTTTTTCTTGTATGAATCAATCGCAATCAAACACATTTTATAATAAAAATAATGATGTATACATTTTGACAATAAACATAAATCAAATTGTAGAGAACCGCACGAACATGGTAAGCAATGTTAATGAAATGTTTGCATATAGAATGAACAAAACCACACACGTTGTTACAGCGCGTATAAAAATGTAACTTTTTGTTATCAAAAAAAATTGCGTCAAATATGTATAAAAACTGAAATTTCGATAAATGATAATTTTGATTAATAGGATAAAAAATTATATGGAAAAAGCGCATGCGCAGCAATAGAGGTCTATCTTATAATGATTATAATGTAAGGTAACTTTATTAATAAATATAGGTCGCTATGTGAAGGGTTAACGGTCTTGAAATAAATAATGACAAACAATTATAGTGTTATGTTGATTTATGACATATATTGTGCAATTATTACCTATATAGGTAACATGCCCACACTTGACATATTATATCAACAAATTTGTGGGTTATATATATAACATATAATAACTATCATACTATACCCGTCACATTTTATATGTATGTTATATTCGGGTTATATCATAACTTTGAATAAACCTGTCATATATAGACCAGGGTTATCACTTATGTTGATGTAATCACTGTATAATTATGTTTGTTTATTCATCCTATTAGTCATTTTGGAAAAATACGACCTTCAAAATAGTAATACAATATACATGTAATTAAACAGCTTATTTCTTAATAATTCTATTATTGATGCATTTATGTTTTACATGTATAACTCCTGTACAAACATTTGTTTATTATTTTACTAGATTTTACGAATAAACATTTTCGAAAAGAAATATCTTCAATCTGCTTCCATCTTTTTTATTTTATTAGTTTTTTTAATTTTTTTATCGGCTGTAAGGGTTATTTGTTTAAGTATAAAATATTTAAACTGTTTCAGAAGAAGCAAGATTGTTAGGTCTTATCTTAATTGAAATCATTATTCTAAATGCATGTATCCTTGCACAGCCTGGTCCCCGGCATGGTTCCTATACTTTTCTGATGTATCTTTGTTCAACCAGGTTATCAATTATTTTCTAATTATATTTCAGCACTAGTGGACTATACTTGAATGATTGATGTACGCACGCTGCTTCCCTCTAACACACATAAAATATGAAATGCAAAGTAGTTTTTGACGTTTTGGTTACTGGCCCATATCACATATCGCGATGGTCAAGATTTTTGATGGACGCAGCTGGCTCGAATGGGTCAGTATACGGTCAGTTTTGAAACTGATGTCGACCTCTGTCATAAACTCATATTCATAACTTTGACTTTCATTATTTCAGTGAAAATTTGTTATCAAGTCCGCTATGAAATATTTGACAGTTTATCAATAAATATTTTCCAAGCTTGACCTACATTTAATTTTGATTTGTGCGTGCAATTTTATGACGCGTCACAAATAGTTCATTCTTTCGTACTAGTTAAAATTGAAATTAAAAAAAAAACCTCCAGAGTTATTTACGCTATTACACAGGATCATCATATCACTAAGTTATGACGTGATTTTTTTCTGTATTCATGCGCACTCTCGGTTATTCGATGCGTTGATTTACAGCTTGAACAAATTCAACACGAATTATGAGCAATTATCGTTCAAATGTAACAATGAAAACATGATTCAGATTTTAATCGATTGAAATAAATTGACAGAAAATCTCTTTGTAATTTCCGTAATTTTCTACCTGGAAATACGAACTATTTTAAAGCAAACACAACTCTCACGTGCTAATGAGATCAAGCGTATTTTAAGTCTTATTATCTTCTAATCATCAAAGAGAAACTCGTAGTAGAAAAGATAACACATAAAGGTTATATCAATATTTCATAAAGTAAATCACAATTCATTGAACATTGTCGCGATTGAATCAAGGTAAAATCGTGAATATAAATAGTTTATGTTGTCATGATTTATTTTCTCTATTTTTTTCTTTATGTGTATCTTTAAACAAATAAAAACTATTCGTATTATTTAAAGTTGCATGCCTCCAGATGAGCCAATATATTTCAAGAAATTCAGACATGATAAACATGTACTAAGATTTTAGGAAAAGTAAAAAGATAGAAGATGCAAGAAATTTTTTATATGTTACGGGCGATAAATGAATGATTTTGCAGTATTTATCCCATTATTTCTACTGCGTGACTAACGCAGTAAAGCCTTTTTTTTTGCATATTTTGACATACGTTTGGTAATAACGTCGATCTGTGTAACTCACTTTCTTTGTTCACTTTCAAATACATGTTCAAAAATTTAATGACAATTAACATTAATCTGGAGGCTGCTTTAACCCATGGTCGAATGTAAGAAAAAAACTGAACAAACAAACAAACAGGAGTACTAATTCTAAAATGCAAGCATATAACGATTGTTTAATATATCTTTTTAATAAAAGTATTTTAGCTGAAGATTATTCTAAGAATACTTTATTATTTTTATCAAATACGCAAAGTTCACATTTTCTTACATCTTACATAATAACTTTATTGAATGTTGTTCTGAAACTAAATCAAACGATCCTTAATGAAACAAATGGTATATTCAAGACTTACAGAAATAAAATAAGCTTTTCATTCATATTATTTTATCATTTTCTATTTGACTCCATTTTGAACTGTTAGAGTTCTTATCCTACTTATCATTGTTAATAATAGTATTGTCTTTAATTGATAGTGGCATACATTCAACTTTATGGTAATAAATATTTAGATATTATAAGTTACGTATCAATATTATTGCTGTTTACGAAAAGAGAAAGCTGCCTGGTAAACTGTTGAATAATTATT